ATTTAGACACCTTATCAGTCAGCCAACTTTATCAATGCTACCCCTGAGTTTGAAGAAACCACACTGGACACCCACACGGATATACTAATCTGACTCTCTACCATAGCTCCTTTCAGACTTTATTCAAATTAGGAATTAGAAGTTGACCTTCAATGTTTTGCTAGAGTCGCCCTGCAGAGCTGTTCAATAATACTCAAATACTTTTTGAATTAAGTCTGAAAAGAGTTATGGTAGAGAGTCAGATTAGTACTATATCCGTGTAGGTGTCCAGTGTGGTTTCTTCAAACTTAGGGGTAGCATTGATAAAGTTGGCTGACTGATGAGGTGTCTAAATTGCGTGGGCCGACATCGTGGTGTAACTGGTTTGTCGTCGTATGGGTCCCACGAAGAGGTACAAATTAGGTGAATAAAAAAATAACGAGTTGAATCAAACAGTAACAATGATTATTTCTGCATCGTGCTTTTTCAGGGGGAGAATTTCGTGATCTACGATGCTTATTGGAATCTAGCAACATTCACAGGAGCGACAAAAAGGTAACCGATCATTTCAATTTTACAAGTATTCAATTTTATAATTTTATTTTGTTCTCCACGAGGCCTCTAACCTTCCAGTATTGATATGTATGTTCGATTTTCCGGTGATCTTGATGTTACTGTTTTTCTAATAGAGCTTTTCCAGGTATTTCCCCAAGTTGCCAAGAAATTTGCTAGGAATCATTTACACCGGTGGCAATACGATGTTAATGTATACGAAACAGAACACCATAAAGGTAATCTTCATATGGCATATGTAGGTATACAAAACTCAAGACCCAGCAATTAAGGACAAAGTACATAATAAAAACGGCTTATGTGACATCCTGGCTACGATAAAATCGTGGCCCCCCGTATACAATATGTGGCGTTGTCAGATCGGAAAGCGGCCCAGATAAAGACTCGAGGGTTATCCTGTGTGTATGTGCGGTCGAGTTTCAACGGCATTGTAGAGGCTGCACCATTCATAAAGGAGCCTATGTAAGAAGTTCAAACAACTTTTCACGAATCATAGCGACAGTGAAAGGCAATTCTAGACATTACTTGACGTATTCAGCTCTGTTCGTAACTGGAACAACGGAGACTTTGTCTGAATACCCCTTTTATGTCATTTCCGCCATGGTAATCTCATCCATCCTCTAGTTTCGCCTTGGAGGGTTTTGATCGTCCCATGAAAGTGTGATACAGTACCCTCTTCCTGAGTGTCCCACCAACGAACCCGTTGGCTCCACCCGGGGTACCTTTTTGTTGCGTCGTGACATGTGTCTTCGGGTGACAGGTGACAGGTTTTGGAGGCGCTTCAGCGTGTCTTCGGGTTACTGTGTAACACATTCACGGGACGATAAAATCCGTCTGTTATTTTCGCTGCTTTTGAGGAGCCTTATTTTTCACAAAATCGACGAATTTTTTCGCTTTCTTCACCACTGATGCACTATTCCCAACCAACACACCGTTTATCGGCTAAAAAAGCGTACCTCAAAATTGTCGTGAACTGTACATTTGATAAACAATAAAGTGTAATTGAATGAGCTTATCCAATTCCGTGGCAGCCATTTCCGTCTGATGACGGCAGCTATGCATTAATTGAATGGGAGCGGGCGCTGAGAGTTCATAAGTTTTGCTTGCAAATCACAGACCATTCAGAGCGTTCCGTTTTGAAAACAGTGATCAAATGTTCTGTGTTTAACTCACATTCAACTAGTCTTTTACAGGTTTACAATGCAAGAAAGTACCGAATACTGCAAGAGTACCCTCTGAAAATCAACGAATACTTCGGTTGTTTGCTCTGACCGTTGGCAGGCTTTTAATTGCGTGTGTGTGTTACCATTTCCGTTTCTTCTCAGTGAACAGTTTCGTGCCATTTCTGTGCACTGTCCTCTTCAGCTGCAGCCCTGCCGTTCCGAGGATACAAGAAGGGTTACGAAACCCTCGTTGCCTCGGACAACATGTTATCGTTTTGATGTGCACATGTTCTCGTAGATTTCTTCGTTCCAATTAATGATGTATGCATCAGATATCCTAATGCTTACCACTTTTTCCAGTCTGATGTGGAGAGCTCCCCGTTATTGCACTGATACGTGTATTTTCAAATAGCTTTTTCTTCAAATTTCTAGTGATTTTATATTGTTTGTTATTTCTGCTTCTGAATAGACCCTTAGATATGCTCTAATTCCAGTCCGAGTCATTGTTTTTATAGGACTTACCATTTATTTTGTTGTAATACAGATCAATCTGAACTTTAGCATAAAGTTATCGGTCAAACCGTAAAAACACTGTCAATAAGTAGACTCTTACTCTGAAGGCACAGCTCACGATAGAAATGGTGTTCTGAGACTAGGGATGAATCTGTGGCCTTTCCTTATATCACGTACCCTGTCAGGTCGCTAAATAACCCAATAGGACATTTTAAGGGCTCAGAGTTTGTATTGGTTGAGTGCCACACCCATAGCGGACGAGCTCCAATGGCGCTGTATAGGCTGCACTATTCACAGCTGATCCCCATGTGGGAAATTCAAACAAATTATCATGGTCAGCGGCGACAGTGGTAAGCAGCTCTGTACAATAATGGCTTGAAGTGATCGGCTCTGTGCGAAACTGCAACAACTGAAATCTCGTCCGAATACCGATTCCACGTCATTTCCGTAATGATGATTTCGTACAACCTCCATTTCCACTAAGTTTAAGAAGACTTATTTCTCATCGAGTCCAGCCTCCAATACGCTCCACTAAGTTTAAGAAGACTTATTTCTCATCGAGTCCAGCCTCCAATACGCAATTCTAAACCAAAACTTGTGCTTCAGGGCTTAAAAAGATCACTCAAGTTACCATGAACTGTGCCTTTACAATGCTTTGACGCTTTTTTACTCTATGTTCAACTAGAACTTTTATTCGGAACTTCGCAAGCCTTTTCGTCCATGCGACAGTGTAAGGCAGTAACTCACTTACATAGAGGCCTAATTTCACGACAACAGCTGGGTATCTAGGTTCAAGGAATGATTGAAGTGATAGTCCCGAATAGTACAAAAATTTAGAAGAAAACGTGAAAACGTGGAAATCGCGTATTAGGAAGAATATAAGGCCTTGAAAAAGTGGTAGAATTAGTGGATGGAAGAAAAAACGACGACAAAAGTTACATGAGTGGGGTGCTTGGACGAGCTGTCCAAATTTGTGTGCCATTGCGTAGCTACAGTAAGCTACACAATAAGATGGCTGCGTGCAACGTGTGCATCCCGACGCAAATGATGCATCCCATGTAGCCTCTGCAACCCCGTGAGAGTTCGCCAGCCTTTGGGTGTGCAGACTTTGCTGGAAATTATACGCTAGATCTAAGCCGTTTTCCAACCCAACAATGTCTCTTGAGTGTCACCGGTTCATCCCAGGAAAAACTCAGCGAACATTTCGTACCACCTTTGATGCTGCAGCACCAGTACGAGAGCCAAGCGATATGTGGCACTATCACAAGGCATTGTTCAAGAGGCGAATCTTCGACCAATAACCACCCACAACCGTCAGCTCTCCTTTAGTGGCAGGATCATTAAAACCAGAATCGTCTTAGAGGTTACATCCGCTGAGTTGTACATCGGTTGCTCACAGCAATTCGTTGTATAGGCCACACTAGTGTGCTCAAAACTCCACTACGATTCTAACTGGAAGTAGTGTGTATAAGAAGACAGAAGTGAAGCAATATTCTCGTCAAGTGGCAATCTATGCATCATCCAATAAGATTTCTTATTGTGAGTTATTCCCTTCTGTTTTCACATTTATTGTAATTCACAACCCTATTCACATGTCTTGGACGGCAGGTATCGGCGCAGGTTACGAAAATACGCCATTTCTGGCATCGAGGAAGCACAGTTAGCCGCTGCATTTGGCATTGTGCCAAGCTGTGGGCTCCTCACTTTCTCGCCCTGTTCCGTGCGCCAACCAAGGGTATCGCTGCTGCCGTGTAAGGATTGAGAGTTGGCCACTGAAGCACAAAGCTGAAAACGA